CCGTTGCCGGAGCTGCCACTAGCTTCCATGCCGGCGGATGTGGGCGAGGGAGGCCGTAGCCCCTCGCGTGGCCCCGCTGACTCCGCCAGAAGTACCATATCCGCCCTCTCTTCGCTGTCCTCCAAGCTCGTTTCCTCACCGAAGAGGACCCCTGGCTGCCGCTGACCCATCTTGTTGCCTCCAGATGCCGTTGAAGCTGGAGGGACCGCTGGTGCCTCCCGTTGCTCCTCCCTGGCACAGATGCCGGTGGGGGCAGCGTTCGGGGTACTGGGGGCCGCCATGGCCGTGCCCTCGAGCTTGGCAGTCGCTGGGACAGGGTCCGCACGGTCTGAGCGCTTAACGGGCCGCCGCCTTGGCCGAAAGGCTGCTGTCCAATCCACTGGTGACCGTACAACCCCACTGGCACCGCGCACCCCGCTGTTGACCATGGTCAACCATGGTGGTGGTTGACCATGATGACCTTTGGTCTCGGCCGGCTCAGGTGAAACTGGCTCGCCCCCGGAACGCGCGGCACCCTGCTGCGTGGCCGCTGTGCCCGTAGCAACTGGAGCCTGCTGCTGCTGGGGACAGTGCCCGAGGTTGGGAACGGCCACCCGCCTGCTGGCGGCGCCTGGGTCCGTTGCGTGGGCTGGTGCCCCCTGGGCTCGCCTGTCCTCCTCCTCAAGTGACGGCTGGCAGCTGACCGGGGTGCAGTAGTAAGCTGCCTGCATGCTGTCCATATACAGCTGCATGCGGGCCAACTGTTTAGAGAGGTCTGCCACCTGCGACTCCAGCGACGGACCGCTGGCGGCCTTAAGAGGCACCCCTGCCGCTGGCCCATTCTCCCATCGGTTACGGTCGCCGGGGTGGTTAGGAGGTCCCTGATTCGGCTCGCGCCGCTGCCCCGCGGGCAGCGCGCCGAGCGGACAATCCCGACGGTCTTGCCACTTGAGTCGGCGGTCGCTGGGGCGCTCCTCCGGCCGGGGTCCGTCGCCGCGCCGCGGAAGAGCAGGGGGCCCCAGGCTGCCGCCGTCCTCCTGGATAATGCAACGCTCCATAACCCCGCTAACGTAGATGGCGTCCTTGACCGCCTCCTCCAACGTGGCGGGCTTCATGAGGTAAACCTTGCTACAGATCTTGGGCAGTAGGCCTTGCACGAAGTTGTACAGATGGATAGGGCCGGCGGAGATATCCACCTGCAGCTGAGCCGCCAGATCCCGGTACCGATCAGAATAGGCGCGCACTGACTCGCCCCTCTCCTGGCGGCAGCGGGTCAACCGGCTGTACAACTCCTTCATATCGACGTCAAACCGCTCAAGGAAGGCGTCCTTGAAAGCGGCCCACGTGCCGACGGCGGTCTTGACTCCAGCATGCCAGGTCGCAGCACCGTCACCCAGCCGGCAAACAGCCAGCCGAAGCTTGATAGGATCCGGCCAAGCAAACAGCTCGGCCGCCTGCTCCAGTTGCGTAACCCACTGCCGTGCATTGTCGCCGGGGCGGTAAATAGGCACGGCGTTGAAGCAGGAAGGGTGCAGGACACTTGGAGTGGATGGGGCTCCAACCGGCGGGATAACGGCCTCGCCGTCCATGTTTAATGGCTAGGTACGGGGTGTCGTACGGCAGCTAGCAACCTGGTCTCGATACCAGGGAACGCCCTACGACCAGTAGACCATCCTGACGAAAATTTTTGCGTGTGCGTACCCCCTAAGGAACTGATGCTGCTGGCCGTCGGCTATTGCGCCCAGGGTGCTAGTGCTGTACGACCCACGCAGTGCCCGTATGGAGACGATTGCACTGCGCTGCTACCGTCCTAGCCTAGCGTGGTGCGGCGGAGGCTACTGACTGGTTACGGCGCACTAGCGGCTGTGTGCGAGTACAGGTACGACCACGGATAGGTCTCTAACAGGTCTTCTCAACCCCGGAAAAGGCCCCGGTATTTATACTGAAGGCAGGGACCCTCCCTAGAGTGACAACGTTGCACAGCATAGCGTCATCGTGATGTCAGCATGACGTCAACCAGACCAAAACACTTACTGGCACAAACCCTCGGAGGGTTATTCCGTATGCGCAGCAAGAACAGCCTCAGATCCTCTATCCAACAAGGCAAACACCTATATCAGGGGCCCCTCTACCAGGAAATACCAAAACCCCTGTTGAGTCATCAGGCTTCGTACCACAATCCCATCGCGAACAGTACGGCCTCGCTTCGCTCGGCCGTTACGTTCTTAGTAATCCAACCGTTACTGGTAAATAGAAAAGGCAACCGCGAGCCAATCAAGCGCTACGAGTACAGGTACCGACGAGGCTCATGTAAAGTAAGTAGCTCTTGCGGCAGCAATTCCTCGCGGCCGGACCCATGGTTCGTCGCGCCGTCTTCCCTTGCTCTCTTTTAGTCCAACCAGTATAGTTCAATACAACATACATTACTGACGCCACTCGCGGCTATTCCGGCGCCGGCGACCGACCGCTTGCCGATCCCTCTTGCCGGTCAGCGCGCGACGCGGCCCTATCGCAACAATCCGTATCCCAACACCTTAGCTCAAAGCCCCACTTTGCTGCCACAGCCCAATCCAATCCATTGCCGTGTCTCCGGCCCCAACCGCAATTCAGCTCTTCACTAGCTTCCCGGCTGCCGAACGCAAGAGCTGTTAAGACTATAGTATAGAATTGTTACTTAGAAGCGGCAGGAGAGCAGCGACTATAGCTCTCTAAGTTAGATTCTATACGGCAGTCGTACAGCTCGTCCTTCTCGCTGTCTCTTAAGGTCTGACAGCTCCATAGTTCGGCATTCTGCCTTCACTATTGGAGCTTTGTTGCTCGTAACTTCCCCCCGCCCGCCCTGACCAGTGTCTTCCGCGTTAAGCCATGCTCGGCCCAGGTTCAATGGCGCGACAGCACACGGGAGGCTGGGGAGCAGCGGCGGGCAACATGAGTGCAGCAGTAGCGTTATCCACGCCGCCTATGGAGGCGGCGGGAGCTATGAATGCTTGTTAGGCGGGGCATGGGTTGTCGCATGGGCTGTAGCTTGAGCGCCGCTGGTGTGCTTCTGGTTTCCCTTTTGGGAATGGCTGGGACTTCAGCATCTTGGTGTTTAGTTTGCTTGCGCCTGGGGGTTTTCCAGCGGCCGGGTGGCCGCTATTGGACAGCGCTTTGGCGCTTACTACGCCCGCGGGCGTCTTTGTTTTCCGCTGTGCAGCGGGTGCAGGCGCACGCCGCTGCACTGAGCCGTGTGTTGTCGCGAGCAGCAGCTCCACCAATAGTGTGTAAGGCCCAATCCAATCCATTGCCGTGTCTCCGGCCCCAACCGCAATTCAGCTCTTCACTAGCTTCCCGGCTGCCGACCGCAAGAGCTGTTAAGACTATAGTATAGAATTATTATTATTATCACCTTCGCTTTAATCCCCCTCACCCCATGCAACCCACACAAGCATGCATGCGCCCCCGCTTCACTCGCACCTCACCCCTTGCAACCCCCCCCCTCCACACACACACATGCAAGCACCCCCGGTTACCTCTGTTTTACCGCTGTTTTGTTTGTACTTGCGGTTCACTTGCGAACCTATCCCAATTGCTTGCCCTTGTTTCCACTCAACTACACACACATGCAAGTAGGGATGGGAACATACGTTATACGCGTAAAAATTACTGTACGTATTATACGTCAATTTTACCACTGAAAAATGGCCATTACGCGTATACGATTGCGTATAAGTATACGGTACGATTTACCAGGGCTTCGGAGCTGCAAGCATGATGACCCAAAACATCAGAAATCGCGAATCCTGGTTACATAATAGTAAGGAAACCAACGTAGGACATTAAGGGAGTCCTTCAAGTGCAAATAGGCGGTGTGTATGGTGGAGATGGCGACGACAATCCGGTCAAATGTCTTAACATAATAAGCTTTTGTAGCTTATCCGCCCTAGCTATCATTAAGAAAGTGTTAAAAGATGTAAGAAATGTTGGTTGGAGCCATAATTCCTTCGTTTACACTATCCTTGAAAGTGGCCGACCCAGGGCGACCCAGGGCGGGGAAAAGCGTACATTACGGCATGTACGCGTATAAGGTACGCGTATAATTGTACGTATAAATACGTACAACAAGTTGAATTATACGCTTTTTGCCCATCCTTACATGCAAGCACCCTTGCAACCCACACACACACAGACACACATGTCCAGTTTCCTTGACACACAGACACACTTGCAAGCACACTCGTTTTACTCGCCACCCCGCCCCATGCGACCCACACACGCGTGCAAGCAACCCCGCTCGAATCCCCCCTCTCGCCCACACACGCATGCATGCGCCCCGTCTTTCCTTGCCCCCTTGCCCCATACAACACACACACACGTAGGCAAGCGGGCTAGGTACGGTCCTCGGTAGTAATTAGCTTTTTCCGACATCATCAGCATCACCGACATGCGTCGGCAACCCGCCACTCTTCTTACATCCAGCACCAGCTATTTAAGCAGTGTTTGCGTTATGTTTCAGGTTTGGTTACCTCTGTTTTACCTCTGTTTTGCTTGTACTTGCGGTTCATATGCGCACCTATCCGAACTGCTTGCTCTTGTTTCCGCTCAACTACACACGTAGGCAAGCAAACCCACTTTACTCGCCCCCTCGCCCCATGCACTCAACTCACGCACGCATGCATCTTCGCTTTAAACCGCCCCCTCGCCCCATGAAAACCTCGCATGCATGTATGCACCCCCGCTGTACTCGCACCCTTTCTCCATGCAACCTACACATACATGCAAGCACCCCCACGTTACTTGCCCCCTGACCCCATGCAACCCACACACGCATGCATGCACCCCCGTATTTCTCCCCCCTCGTCCCATGCAACCAACATACGCATGCAAGCACCCCCGCTTTACCCGGCCCCTTACCCCATGCAAGGGGCTCCATCCTCTTCCATTTTTTGAGGAAGATGACACCCAGCGTTCGTAAAAAGCATATGTAAGTATGAAGGCTGCACTTTATACCGGTACAGCGGAACGTTGCCGGGCTGGCTCCTCATACTGTGATTTGTGTCAGTCATTGCATGCAAGCGCACACACAGGCGAACAGTTATTTTAACACAGGCGACCATAGAATTTCCCGAAGATGAATGAAAGGAAACAAAGGCCTTGGACGGATCCTCCCACCCACCGGCAGGCATATTAAGACACTTTGCCAAAACGCCAGGGAAAACCACTGTTAGGTTCCACTGCACAAGCTCGGTAACACGCAAATAATAATCCTGAAAACGCTTAGAAGTTAATGTAACCATGTTGCACTATTTTTACCGATTCAAATGCCAACACTGAATTGCGCAAGCTTTCCGGCACAGCAATGCGGATCCCCAGCCGCAGGAGATACAAACAAAAACACTCCCGCCTTTTTCGCAGCAACCTTGATTGCCTTGTCCTAAACTCTTTGCCGCTGCCCTGCCCTCACCGTAAAATGGCCAACCGCAAGCCCTCCTCGTCCGGACCCATACCAGCACCGGACTTCTCCTTGCCCATGTCCCATTCCCGCACTTAAATGTACTCCATGGCCCGACACTTGTCGCTCTAAGAAATCCTTGCCGCCGCCACTGCTGTACACGTTGCCAGCCCGCCGCCTGACCCGTCCTGCACCAGCGACGACAGCCGCCGCCTCTTGCACCGCCGGTCCACCTTAGCAGGGTCAACCCTTTCCTCCGTCACGTTCGCCGCCAGGGCGCCGCCGCTGTAACCGTCGTACACCGCCGCCTCCCTGGCCGCCTCCGCCGCCGCTCGCTCCTTGGCTGCTTCAGCGGTGTTTTTGACGCTGGTGGGTGCCCAGCGACTGAAGCCAAGCGCGGGGCCACCTACAGAGGGTAGAGGACACGACAGCAACAACATGGAAGCCGTCGCCATGGAGGGAGTAAGTGAATCATACTCCGCTTTGTGCACCTTCTCGTCACCACTCTTGTTATCTTCTATTATCGCCAACCCGGGAACAACAGCCCTACTGTGGGTTGAAACTCAGCCAAGGGCGCTCTGCTGACACCCTATCCGGCCTGCTCACCCGCACGCCGACCCGATCCCGGCTTGGTGACCGGCCCCAGGTCTCGGATGGCAACCTGTGCCCCGCCCAGCTTCTTGAGGTAGATCTGCTGCGCAGCACTGAGCGTCGTGTTGGCCAGGTAATAGAGCGAGAGTCCCGAGGGCACGTTGAGCGCGAACCAGCCGATCATGAGCGGCAGCCCCACCAGCAGCGCACGCTGCGTGTTTGCGTTCTCGTCCTTGGGGTCGATGGGCGGACTGGTGACGGCGGACGCGGCCCACTGCACCAGCACCAGCAGCACGGGCAGCACCAGGTAAGCAGCTGCTGCCGACCAGCCGATGGGGGGCACGCCGTCGACCAGCGGCAGCAGCCAGGAGGTACCCAGGCCAGACTGCCGCATGGCTAGGGTGGTGGGGCCTGGGAAGGGCGCGGGATCGGTTTTGCAATGCAGCGGAAATGGGAAAAGGGTATGGGTTGAGGGAGGAGAGGAGCAACGAATAATTCGATACCAGTACTCCAGTCATTACCCCTCCAAAACCAGACACAAAGCTTGCAAGAATTGAAAAACAACATATAATTGGCACGGAGGAAGTTGGTAAGCAGAATGCTTCCAGCAAGGTATACTTCCGAATCTGCATTGCCTCGTGTGCCCCAGCCTGCCCTGACCTGCCAGCGAGGGTATCCAGTAGAATCCCTGCGTGTCCAGCGACCCCTCATTCGCCACATTAGTGAGCGAGGAGTAGAGGCCGATGAAGATAGGGATGGTGGCCAGCGTGGGCAGGCAGCCGGCCAGCGGGTTCACGCCCGCCTGTTCGTACAGCATAGAGGTCTCCTTCTGGATCTTTTCCTTGTCTTCGCCATACCGGTCGCGGATAAGATCCACACGCGGCTTTAGCGCCTGTACGGCAAGTGCAGACTCCACCTGGGGAGGAGAGGAGGGGTTGGAAGGAATTGGGGTGCAGGGGTTTGAGGCTTGTTGGGGTGATAGAAATGGACCTGCGTGGTCAGGCCTAGGAGGGCAATGAGGCTTGGGAGACATCCGATGGAAGATACAACTCCACACCACATGCCGCATACTGACAGCCTCACTTCCCCTGCTCGTTTGCTCCCGGCTGTTACCCTTCTTGAACGTGCCCATACAAGTCATTTGTTTCACATCAAAAGGCTCTGCAAGCAACCTCAATTCAGCAGCACAGCCCGGCGGCTCACCTGCTGCTTTGTCAGGGGAAACGTGGCGATCTTTACGAACAGGGTCAGGAGGATGATAGAGTATCCGTAGGAGTATGGCACGTGTACCTTATCCAGGCCTTCTTGGAGCAAGTAAAGCACTTGCTCCAGAGCGTCAGCCAGCGGCGATACCCAACCGCCAGCGCGCTGTACGGTCGGATGGTCTCGGACAGTGGCTGCTACAGTCACTGCTGAAGCTGTGGATTCGGAGGCGCCGGCCAGTGTATAAAAGCTATTGAGGTCTGCCGCCGCTTTGTCCAGTACTGACGGTGTGCCCGCTACGAGCTTTTCAGGTAGACGAGAGTACTCGGCCATGGCGCGGCAAGAGAATCGAGTCCTTCCGGGACGTTTTGCAGCCGTTATGGGCCTCCTACACTCCGTGACAAGTTGAGGGTGTGGCCACCTACTGACACCAATGCGGAGATTTGCATTCCAGAAATTGGATTACCTGGATACACGAAGTGGTCCATGTACGTTACTAGCTTTAATCCCAAAACGTTGGTAGCGCAGCCCCATTCAGCTCAATTTGCCGAGATGCCAAACGAAGTTAAGAGGTCCGAGCACGTTTCCTAGCGACGCACTACGCTGTGCAATTGGTAGCACCCGCCACGCGCCCTAGCATGGGCTTACTAGTTCTGAGTTCCAAAGAGCGTTGATGCACCGCAAGCGGTATTGCCATATTGCCAACGGATTGCTTGGGATCAAGTACGGCACCCTGCTCATCGCAGAAAAGAATGGATCATGGCAACATCTATGCGACAGTTAACTTAACCTGGTGTTTTGCCTAAAAGTACCCTATCGCTCATGCTGTTGCTCGACAGCCATACTTGATGTTTGACCTTCACAACCAGCGTTTATGTATGCATCCCTATACTTTCGGTACATAGGCGGCACCCAGCATGAGGTCCGCGGCCCTCCGCTGTACGCATCAAGCACCTTTGGATGAAGTCCCCCAAAATCGCGCCAATTGCTGTCCTATCAAAGGGGATACATTCGCATACATTCGCAGTGCACGCGTTGGGCGCGTCCAGATGTGCGTGCTCGGCCTGCTGGCATGTAAGGCATCGGCAGTGGCCAGGGCATGGCCGTGAACTAATAGCCGCGCCGTTTATCTGTTTGTATAGACCTCTATCAAAAACACAGGCTGTTCGGGGCCCCGCGTACGGGTGTAAGGCTGCGCGGAAGTGCAATGCTGCGCGCAAGCGCCTAGCTCCGTCGTCCATGCTTGGCGATAGCGTGTACGCCTAATACGAGGAAGGCGTGTGTCGCCAATGCGCTGCCTCTGCTTCACCTTCACATACCTAAGCACCATATAGCTGGCGAGCCACAAGTCGATGAGCAGTGCGTATAGAGTCAGCGTACCATTACATTATAGGCTCGTGACAGCATCGTAAGGTGAAGTCGATGCCACACTTGATTAGTACATGTCGGTACCCTTCACCCCCGTGCCTCTTCACCCTCGTGCTCTACACCGGAGGCCCATGGGTCGTAACATGAACTACAGCTAGGCTATGGTGCATAACATGCATGACAGCCATAGAGAAGCTCTACAGGGTACCGGTACCAGCCCCAAGGGCACAACTCATCGACAGCTTGACGCCCTGCTCTGCCCGCCTTTCCGAGAGGTACTTCATGCTTTCTGTGCAGGAGAACCTAAGCTCAGCCACAAAGCCCAGGCGGCTGAGCTCGCTCGTGGTGCGGTTGCCGACAGTGCCGCTCGAATCGGACTCGTACACCGCCATAATAGCAAGGTGATCGCAAAGCAGCCGGTATGCGCCTCCAGGATAACCCCCGGCCTGGGGCAGCATGCATGCGGCATAGTCACTCGTTGTCAACGCAAATTGCATGCCATTAGGCAAGATACGGTAGCACGAAATTGAAGTTTGCTTGCGCCAATTGGCACTAAGGACAGAGATTGGGAAGAGACGGCAAACCACGTGCACTTCAGTAAGATCATGCAACCAATCCACTCCTAGAGCGCCTATAGCACCTAGCAAGTTGATGTGAAACTTAAACGCCGCCGTCCTTGGGGACGGGCCACATAACCCCGCCGGCGCAGCCAGAGTCTCCTTGGCCACGAACAGCTCGGTGTTGCAAGTCAGCCGCGACACGTAGGGTGGCGCAAAGCAGCTGACGACGATCCGCTGGGCAAGACCTCGCCCTGCAGGACGAAAGGCTTGAAGACCTCCTCGCTGTAACGGGGTGACTTGCAGCACAACTAGGGAACGACTGCAATGGTGCAGTGCACGACCCGTACAGCAGTTGCAGATGGAACCCCACATATACCCAGGTTGGGCCCCTTGCCACCACAGGTCAGCCTGTTCAAGCTCATAACCAAACTCATCGGTTTCGATAAAGAGGTTCCCCTTTGCATGTTCACAGGAAGCGTCCAGATTAAGGCTAAGGCGATAGGATGCCCACCTACCCGCTTGTAGTACCGGGGCTCCATGAGCCTCTGCACCATCTGCTCCTTCCACTCGGTGAGGATGGGCAGGGGCACCTGAACCAGCCAGGACATGGTGAGCCACGACATCTTCAGGCCCCGGTCGCCTTCGCGCACTTTTGCGAGCACAACGGGAAAGGCTCTGACAGGCAACTCGCATACAGTGTGCAAGCATACAAGCGAGAAACTGCAGGGCTACTACCAGGGCAAGACGGCATAGCAGGCAATCCCAGCCGTACCTCACCCGGAAGGTCGTCCAGTCCGACCAGGCGTATCACGGCTTGTAGCTGCATGTTGACCGATACGGGCAGGTTTGCACGCAACAGCGTGGCCATCAACCACCGGGCGAGGACCAAGTATTGAACCAAGTGCACTTTAACGACACGTCAGATGGCCGAAAAGTGCAAAAGTGCAACGACTACCGAAGCCAAGGCAAAATTATGAACACGTAGCAGAAGCAAAGCAAGCAATAGCAAAGGAAAAAAGCAAAGTAGTATACCATAGAGAACGAAGGATCGGTAGGACGCTCGGGACAGAGACGAACGAAATACACTTGAACGAGCAGGGTCGAGGGCATATGAAAAAAACGACATCGTCGTACACCGCGGCCTTGGTCAACTCTTTCACCACGCACCGCAATCCCTGTATTCTTTGCATGCATTATATATACATGAATTTAATATACCTGTAAATATGGTTACATAGCTGCATCATTGCAATGGCCAAGCCAGAGTTGTTCAGCGTTACCGATGTCCGCTCCAGCGGCCTGCAGGGCTTCAACATGCTTTTAAAATGAGCCATAGTAGGATTACATATTAACGTGGCCTGTGTACAGCGGCTTGCTTGCAAAAGCACCATCGCACTTAAGTGGGCTTCCGAGCAGGCGCACCAAATCTTTGCCGCTTGCATAGCTCAAGCACTTTTTCCACTTCATACCAGTTATACGTAGCAAGAACCCCCACAAACCCGCTCTCCACTGCCTCCACTACTCCGCACCCCACCCATCGTCTGCTGCAGCCATCCTTCCTCCTACACCGCTTCCTCCCCCTCATTCCAGCAACCACCGTTACCGCCGCTGCTGCTACTCCCGCTGCCGCCGGTAAGCAGCTGCCGTAAAGCTCTAACCAGCGGTACGTCGCCGGCTTGGAGTTGGAGCAGCTGTAGCAGCAGCGGCAGCATCTGCTGTCCCCGTCGCCATTGCGCCCATCCGTGGCAGCAGCAGCGGGCACGGCACCTGCACGGCAGCAACAGCCACAGCAACAGCAACCACAGCACTTGAAGAGGTTCACGGGGAAACACCTTGAGCCGCAAAGACAGCAGCAGCAGCGGCAGTCGTCATGTTGGAGTTTGCACCACCTCTGCCAGCAGCGGGGCCAATGCCACCAGCAGGACGACAGCAATCAGCACGCAGTACGACCCCCATCGTCATCAGCAGCAGCAATAGCACACGCCATTGTAACCGCCCCCGCAACCACCCTCACCATGACTCCAACCGCCGCCACCATGTCGTCGCTCGCCGCCCGGCGGCACCGCCCCCTTCCCGCCCTCCTCCTGCCCGCCCCCCTCCTCCTGCTGCTCAGCCCCGAACCCACACGGGGCCGCCCCCACCACCGTCCTCGCAGCAGTTGCCTCAGCAGCAGCAGGGAGGGGTGCAGCAGCAGTCCTCCGTGACACATGCGGGTCAATGGCGGCAGCAGCAGGAAGAGCAGCAGGAGTAGGAGCCCGAACAGCAAGCCAGGGGGGGTGCTGGCGCCCCCTCGCTGGCCGCATGCCTGGTTGCGGTGGTGGTGGCGGGCCACGGTGGAGGCAGCCGGAGTGGGGGCTGCAGTGGGGGAGGGGCGGCAGGAGTGGGGGCAGCAAGCCAGCAGCCTGCAGTGAGGGTGGTAGGCGCGTGCGGGTTAGGAGCAGGAGGCGAGACAGGCGGTGGGTTCCCAGGTGGGGGTGAAAGACCATACCAAACCATAGGAGACCACAGGTTAGGGTGGGGGTGGGTGGGGCGGTGGCCTCGAAGCGCTGGCGGGGTTGTTGCAGCTTCCCTGGCGTCTCGCCGCCCTCCGGGCACCCCCTCCTGACGCCGCCATGCTTCTGGTGTTGGTGCGGGGGAGTGCATGCGCTGGGTGCTGGGGCTGAGACTGGTGGGGGTCGGGGTGGTCGTTGGGAAGCACGGACGTGCGAGTACAGCTGATCCAGGTGGGCGGGGCTGTGGGCTGCGGGGGGTGCTTCTCCCGCTAACGCTGCTGCTGCCCCCGCTCCTGTCGCTCCCGCTCCTGCTAACGCTGCTGCTGCTATCTGCGCTGGTGCTTCCTATCTTGCTGCTGCTGCTGGTGGTTTCCTCCATTGGGTGTTGTGTGCGTTTGTTAGGTGGTTGCCTCGGTTGGCTGTTGCCTGCAGTCGCTTGCATGGGGCCGCATGCGCCTCACCCCTCTCAACACATGTGCCTCACCACTACTTCCTCAGCCACCCACTCCGCAGCTCCTCAACGCCAAACCAACCTGCCCCTGCCCCCTACCTACCCCCTCCCCCACCCCTCCAGTTAGTTGCTTTGCCCTAACTTGTGGTCTCCTATGGTTTGGTATGGTCTTTGACCACCCCTCCAGTCCCTCCTGCAGCGGCCCCCCAGCCGCCCACCCCCGCCGCTGCCCCTGCTGGCGGACACCCTCGCTCTCCTCACCACCAGCACCACCCCCACCTGCTTTCTGCTCACCTGCCTCCACCACCACGGAGGGCCCCACCCCTTCTCCTCCCCCTCTCCGCCCCCCTCAGCTAACCGCCCCCCTGGCCGCCCGGCTATGCGACCCGGCTGCGGGGGACAGAGGGGGACGGCGGTGGTGGCAGCAAGGAGGGCCGCCGTGTTGTTACCTTTTCCCCTCTCCTCATCGTCACTTTACCTTGCTGACAGCCTCTTTCCTGGGGACGAGCCGCTGTATGTGCCCTGCCAGCAAAAGACGTGCGCAGTTCCCAACCAAACCAGATACATATTGAAGCACCCTATTGTCGGGCCCCCATCCTCAGCTGCACTAACACCTGGTTTGCAGATGAAACCCCGACTTACCCAAGCTCCGCAGGCCTTCGCAGATAAGCAGCCCATGCATACACTCCTGCCCCATGAAGCGCCCCCTTAAGTGAGTACTTGAGCAACGGGGCCCCTGCTCTCACGTGTGTGGCATGCACATCCAGAGCCAGTAGTTTCAGCACTTGAACCTTCCCCACACCACCGTACGTGCCCTACCACCACTTATGCAACCATGCCGTCCATCCGGCTGCCTGATTGGCGCAAGGTGGCGTATGTGAGGCATGAGCCCTGCAACAAGAAACCCACCCGCCAAGTTCATGCGAATGGCAGAGCCGACGGCGGCATTGCATTTGCTGGCCGCCTTGAACTCTTTGGTGGTGACACGCCAAATGGAGAGGGTTGACCCGGTGACTGCACCAAACTCCCCCCGTGCTAGCTGCACTATTGAAGCACGTTTTACTTATAAGTCAGTAAGTGTGGGCACCATCTTGTCGGGTTACCTCCTAGCCCCTCACAATTGCATGTTGGCCGGGTCCCTGGTGCATGGTTCCTGGGTGGGGACCGGGGCACATTTTACCCCTCACGGACCGCGAACTATTAGGGACCGCCCGTATCCAGCATGGTGGTTATACGTCGCGATGGAGATGCGCTGCGCATGAAACCCTGAGCCCGGGCCCTCAACATGCTCCGAGCATGTTGAGCCCAGAGCCCAGATACCTGGTTTCCTTTAAAAAGTTCAGCCTGATATTGCCCCAAATATCGGATAGCACATAAAATGAGTTCACGACGGTAGTGTATGATACAAACTCGGTGTCGCGTCATGAATTGCCCAGTTTCTGATGCGAGCATGCTCAAAGCCCGAAAGCTTCGGTGCTAGGATACATGATCAAAGCTCAAATCCCGGGGGGCACAACCTTATTGCTCAAGGGCTGAGGCCGGTGGACTGCGGGCATGGCTCGCACTTTGGCGACGACCTTTTCGACGAGAAACAAGAGTTCCAAACCACTCCTGTGTGGAAATTCATATACAATTCATATACGGACAATAGCATGCAAGTTTTAAGGGTTGGCATCGCCGCTAGAGGTACATTCACCGATCGGTGACGCACTTCACCGATCGGTGGACCAGAATGGAAGGGACCAATGCGCCGGTAACCTAAGGGCGTATGCGCACACAGTACTTAAACGGACTTAACGAGTAAACTTCTGTGCGCGTACCCGTACTCCAGCGGCAATTTGGAATAATGCCGTATCCTTGCACCTGCAGCCCTCTGTTCTATACGCACCTAGCCACTTCATGCTAGGTGGCCCTCCTAGCCGGCCCTACCCTACCTTCTACCCTAACCCCCTATGAAGGCGTTCCTTCTCCACACACGTGTGCCAGGTGCGGCACGACCCTGACACTGAGCGTGGGGACCCAATTAAACACCTCGACATGGTCCACTAGCTTCAACGGACTCCTACGGACCCCTGTGCCGTAGCTGCGTCCCAACCTGTACTATGAAGACAGCATGAAGTAACTGATACACCTGTGCCACATAACCTCCCCATCCTCTTACCATTGTACGCCATGTAGCGCCTTCCCCTACAACCCCGGTTTATTTCACCTGAACTCGCCCATCCCTCCTCCTTTTGACTTATCCTCCCTCCTGCACCTCATCTCCGCAGTAAATGCAAGGTAATCACCAAGTAGAACACGACCACTAGTGCGCCCGCAGCCAGCCTCAACACCTCCCCTGCTAAGGATTGCGGCCGAGGTGCCACGCCCGCGCCAAAAGCCAGGCACAAGCATCACACCAAGGTATCTTCTGCTTGCTGCTGCTGGTGCCGCTAAAGCGAGTGCTGCCGCTGGTGCGGCTGGCTGCCGAGGAGTGGTTGCTGCTCCAGGCAGCAGCGCAGAAACTCCAGGGACAGGCTACGACCAGCGGCGGCGGCCGTGATTCGGCTACGGAGGCAGCGGCCGCCGGCCCCACTGATCATCCAAATCATCATCCGGAACATGCTGTTCCGATGGCGGGGCTGCTCCGCTGTTGCAACTTTGACAGCGGCTGGACCTGACCTCCCGGGCATCTCCGATGTTACCCCTTCTCATCACTACTTCGCCTGCCGCAGCCGTGCTCCAGGTGTGTTGCTGCTGCGGTGGCGGTTGATGGCCACGCTGATGCGTGCAAACCTGCCCGTATCGGTGCTCGCAAAAGTGGAAGGCGACCAGGGCCTGAAGGTGTTGTGGCTCACCATGTCCTGGCTGGTTCAGGTGCCCCTGCCTATCCTCGCCGAGTGGAAGGAGCAGATGGTGCAGAGGCTCATGGAGCCCGGGTACTACAAGCGGGTAGGTGGGCATCCTATCACCTTAGCCTTTGGTTGGACGCTTCCTGTGAACATGCAAAGGGAAACCTCTTATCGAATCCGATGGGTTTGGTTATGAGCTTGAACAGGCTGACCTGTGGTGGCTAGGGGCCCAACCTGGGTATATATGGGTTCCATCTGCAACTGCTGTACGGGTCTTGCAATGCACCATTGCAGTCGTTTCCTGTTGTGCTGCAAATCACCT